CCCGCCCCGCGTAGCATCGGCTGAGACGGATGAGCCCCTTGCGCAGGCCTTTTTGCAGGTCACGCGTCCACTCACTGCTCACTGGGTACTCGGCGCTGAGCCTACGTGTGAGTGGGAATCATAGGGGACTCAGATAACTCTCGGAGGGGTGGGGGGGGGGGACTCTGAGATCACTCTTGGTTGCATCGCAGGCCTCCCGCTCCCTTCCTCTCCCCCCACCCTCCCCTCCATGTCCACACCAGACATGGACTCACATGATAAAAGCCGTCACTCCGATGGCCCAGATATCCGTCTGTGGGACAGCCTCCTGTCCCTCCAGGAGCTCAGGAGCTGGGGAGGGTCACAGGTGTATGGCCTCAGGTGAGAGGCCACATGGGATGCAAGAGCAGGGACTACAGGACTGGTGGGAAGGGGGCTTCCTCCTGCCCCCCCCACCCCCATAGGCCAGGTCCCCTTACTACCCTCCCCTAGCCACTGGCCCATGCACACACCCATGGTCTCCAGGTAGTCCTTGAATTTCTCTGAAGGCAGCACCTTCTCCTGGCTGAGACTCTGGGCATTCCCCAGGTCTACGATTTTGAGCAGGTTGTATTCAGTGACGATCATATTCTCCGATCTGAGGTCCAAGTGCAGGATGCACTGGGCATGCAGGTACTGGGTGGCACTCAGAATCTGCCACAGGTAGTCCTTCACCTCGGATTCTGAGTAGGAGGCCCTAAGGGCAGACACTGCTCAGGCCAGGCCCTGGGCTAAGGCAAGGACATGTACACAAGGAGCCAGACAGTAGGTACCAGGGCGGGTGAGAGCTGAGACCGCCCTCCTGGTTGCTGGGAGAGGGTCCTGAGCTTGGCTGAGCCTAGTTTGAAGTCAGGCAGGTAGAGGTAGGCTACCGTCCCCATGCTGCCCCTCACCTTTCAGCCAGGCATGGGAGTAGCTCGGGCCCAGAGCACAGCTCCAAGATGAGCACCAGGTGCCGGGGACTGAGGTAGGCAGCGTGCAGCTGGGCCAGGTGTGGATGGCGCAGGCCCTTGAGGGCCTCATATTCCTGCAGCACAACCATCTTGTCTTCCTTCCGATAAGGGACAATCTTAGCAGCTAGCACCCGTCCACTGGACTTCTCCCGGCACTGCCGTACCACACTGAAGCGACCCCTGGACAAAGGGGACACGGGCCAGGCTGGTCAGAGACCCTCTACTACCTTAACTGGCCCCCTCATCTCCAAACTCAGAACAACAAAGACCAAGCTCAGCAAGTGGTGGGATGGTGTGGACAGTGATAACACAAGTTGGGAAGATGCTTTGGGCCAGTTAGAGGTAGGGTGAGGGTGGGAGCCTGAAGAGCCAGCAGGGAGGCCAGGGCATGGTTCCCACGTATCCACCATTCCCCAAAGCTCTTGCACCTCCGGATCTGCATCTGGAAAGCGAAGGTCTGCGTGCTGGGGAGGGGTGGGGCTGGCCGGCCCTGGCCACTCTCCACTTCAGAGGCTGAGGGAGGAAGAGCAAGTGTCTAGGGTTAGAGGGCATCCCCACAGATTTCCTCCACTTCTCCCACCCCTCCTTCCCTAGCATCCAGGCACTGGCTGACCCTGAGATCCCACAAACTCTAGCCTCTCATTCCTGAAGCCATCTGGAGAGTAGGAGCATGTGGAGAAGGGGGACAGGACACAACAGGCAAAACCAGCCATCAGAGTGTATGTGCTAGTTGCAGGGGACATTCCCAGTTGGACCAGATAACACCTAGTTCCTTCCCGAGTCTGTGACATTAATAATCCCAGCACTCTTTCACAGAATCCAGATGCAACACCCATAGAAGTCACTGCGAACACTCAGCATGAAAGGGGGTACTCATTTGCCTCCCAGAAGATGTGGGGAGGATATAGTTGAGGGAAGAGGATACCCCGGAGGATCACAGGAGCCCCAGAGTATGCAGGCCTTGAACTCCGAGCCCAGGAGTGACTCTCTCCGAAAAGCAGTGGAGAGCCACAGAGACTGAGCAGAAGAGTGTGCGTACCTGACTGCCCCATCCACCATCCACCCACCACCAGGCCCTGCAAGTGGCTCACCCAGGTGGCTGGGTCCTCCAAGGAGGACCTGCTCCGAGGGGCTGCTGTAGGGGCCCATCCCTGCCTTGCTCACACAGGCTGTTCGGAAGGCGTACATGCCTCCCCGAGAAAGCTTGCTGGTGAGGTAGCAGCAGTCAAAGATGTCAGAAGCCAGCGTAGTCCAGCTGCCACCTAGGCCACAGGGGAACAAATGAGAGGCAGCTGAGGCCTCCCTCTTCCACATTGGGAAGGGGAGTAGGAGAGACCCTTCCCAAGGCCACAGAGCAGACCGTTCCCTGAGAGAGACAGTTCAAGCTTCAGCACCTTCCCACCTTGCCCTGGGGTGGGGAGGGCACAGGAGCTGCCCCTACCTTCCAGGCTGCACTGCACAATGTAGGTCACAGGGCCACAGGACTCCACAGGCTTCCAGACGAGCAGCACTCCATCCTCATACACCTCCCCAATGTCTGGACGTGGGGAGGATGACGGACGTTCTGCAGGGGCCCCCACAATGGTCAGTGGCTCTGTGGGGGGTGGGGCACCCAGCTCCCAGGGGCCAATCTCCAGCCTGGCCCTGTTTCACCCTCAGCATCAGGCTCCAGAACCCACCCTTTCCTGGTCGTTTTGTTCAGAGGGTTCCATACCAGCGAAGACTGATGGAACCTCGTGCCTCTCCTGGCCAGAACTTGAGAAGGCCTCCTTCTAGGTGCTTGCCCAAGACTTTATGGAGTTGCCCAGGCTCTGATCAGAGAGCCCTTGCTTTGCGCAGGGCATGTGCCAACCAATGACAATGCTCTGCCCAGGGCAATGGTGCCAGCACTCTGGGGATCAGACTGGGGCCTCAGAGGTAGGCCTACAGCCTCCACTGTGACTGCCTTAGAAACACACCCCAGAGTTTTTTCTGTGAGCAACCAACTTTGATCAGATGCAAGGCAGGAAACAGCCTCCTCCTCCTCCTCCTGCATCAACTAGAGGGATGAGTGCAGAAGCAATGTGGGAAGACAGAGTGGGATGTGGAGTGAAGCACCCTGGAAAGCTCATTTCTCCCTGGCAAATGGGAAAATGGACAGGCTTTCTCTCTAAGGCAGTGGTGTGGATAAACAGATTTTGTTCCAAGCACTGTAATATCAGCATCCATATCAGGTGGGCTCTCTTCTCTGGGCACTCTGCTTCTTCCCAGACCAGTTCAGGCAGTCTGTCCTATCAGTCTCTTTGTTAACCTTCTCAGGCCTTTAGAAGCCTCTACTAGGCCTTCTCCATTCCAGGAGGGGCCTACTGCAGCTACATGTTGAGAGCAGGTCCCTATTGGGACCAGGGCTGCTCAGCAGGGACCTGGGTGCCTCGGTTGTTGATGCATGAGCACTGCCTTCCATGGGCCCCCTATGCAGAGGAGTATACACCAGCTCACAAACCAGGCAAGCTCTCCAAGCACCTGAGCCTCCTTGGCCTGGTGGACATCTCCAGCAAGGCTCACCCACCTGCTTTCCGGAGAACACCTGTGGTGGCTGCTGTCCCCAGCGAGTTGCTTACAGTGCAGGTGTACACACCCAGGTCTTCAGCAGTCACCACCAGGATGGTCAGAAGCTGAAAGTTCTTGAGGGTGGAGGAAATAAGGAGGCGGCTGCTGCTCTCCAAGAGGGTCCCATCTGTGATGGGACAGAGTGAGTCATGTGACCTGAGGCCCCCCACGTCTTTCTCAAGGTCTCAGTTTCCCTCTGTACGGTAATAGCATTCAGCTGGGCCTGCAATGACTTCTCAGTCTGTTCGGTCTCCCAACTTCAGGACAGCTCCTTACCTTTGCTCCAAGTAGCCTGGGCAGCTGGCTGGGCTGACACTTGACAGGCCAGTGTCACCGACTGGCCTAGGACCACAGTCTCATCTGAAAGCTCCCTTAGAAATGATGGTGCTGAAAAGGGAGCATGAAACAAGCCATCAGGAATGATCTCTAGGCTGAAGAGCATGGCCTGGACCCCTTGGTAGGGATATCAGGAAGAGCCCACCCACCCTTACCCAGCCCACTTTGATACCACCCAACCCCTCCAAGATCATTCAGCCCTTGTGGCCAGAAACCCTTGTCTGAAACCAAGCCCCTATGGGTGAGAGCTTGTCCCTCACTGGTCCAGGTGGTTGAAGGTGGGACCTTGAGGGGCAATGGGGGAACCAGCCTCTGGCTGGCTCTCTTACCTTGGTCCTTACTCTTCAGACCTGACAGCCGGAAGGAAGCTAGGCCTGACTTCTTCCTAGGAGGCCCCTCCTTCTCCAGACCTACAGGAGGAAGAGGGCCCACAGGAGGTCACAACCTAGCATCCTCTGGGCAGCACCAGCTTCCTTGAACCACACAGCTCCCAAACAGGTTGGATGGGAACTCTAGCACCATCCACCATCCGTTCCCTGACTCTTATGCCGCAGGAAGAGGTTAAAACCCAGGAGTACTTGGGGAACTGAAGCTAAACGTGCTGAGCAGGCCACCCCTCCCTAGCCTCTCAGCATTGGGGCATCAGCAAGGCTAAGAGGCCTACAGTCAGTAGGAGGGCCACAGGTGCTGCCTGTGTGCTGTGGGGGCCACCTAGGGCTCAGGATCAAGGAGGGTCTGTGGTCAGGGAGGACCTAGAATGCAGGAAGGACTTGGGTCAGAAAGAGTCTGGGGTTGGGGGAAGGTCTAGAGTCAGGGAGGGTCTGGAGTTGAGGAGGCCTATGTCTGGAGAGTGTTCGGGGTCAGGGGTGGGGCTCTGAGTCAAGGACTCAGGGTTGAGAGGAGTCTGGCCCTCTGCAATTCTATCCTCAGGGGAATACCGCCGACATTGGTCTCCAGGCCTCCAGTTGTGTTGGGTCTGGGGCTGAGTCTCAGATGCCCAGTGGGAAGGGATATCAGGGCTGAAGAGTTAACCCCAGGACTCAGGCAGAGGCCTGTTGGGGCCTTGGCGGTGTGGGTGGCACCTGGGCACCAGGGAAGGGACCCCAAGAGGGCTTTCTGCAGTCACCCAGATGGGATCCTAAGATGTTCCCAGGCTTTGAAGGGTGAGGTGCCCCCAAGAGTGCAGAACAGGGGACTCCCTGGATGTGCCACACAGGTCAGGGGTGGGTAGGCTGGGGAAGTCACCTTCAGGCTTGCCCTTCAGGATCCGGGAGATGTGAACCATGGAGGCCTTCACCCTCTGACGCAGCCCAAGCTCCACAGGCTCCTCCAGCTGCAGGTACTTCCCAGGGAAGTGGAAGAGGCCTTGCGAGGGGGAAGACCACTTGCGTTTCCTGCCTGTTGTGGTCTTCCCCAGCAGGGCTTCCAAGTCCTCTGGCTCCTCTGTGATCTCTAGGCTGGCTTGCGGGCCCAGCTCCCCTGGCCAGGGCCACATGGCTTCTGGGAACTCTGCCAGTCCCTCTCCAGCCTCCTCCACAGGGGAGGGTGGCTCCTGCTCCAAGGGCTTGGGGACCTTCCTAAAGATCATGAACTCAAACGGGAGATACTTGATGTCATAGAGATGGGAAAGGTTGAGGTAGGCAGGATCCACCTCTGAAATATCTAGGGATATGGTGTCTGCTGCCTCTGAGTCCCCAGACAGGTCCTGGATTTGTACCAGAGAGACCTGACCAGCATCATCCCATGAGGCCACCTCTGGGGAGGCCCTTGAGGGAACCCCACTGGTCTCAGACACAGGCCCCTTGCTGGCCTGGGGTGGCAGGCTTTCAGCACCCACCTCGTCTTGCTCCTCTGAGGACTGGGACACAGCCCAAGCCATCCTGGCCCACAGAGGGCCCTGTCCCAACATGCCCCCTGCATCCCCACCAAAGGCAAAGGTGCCGTAGCCTGCCACCCCTGCATAGCCCCCTCGGCAGCCCAGGGAGAACTTCCGGGTGGTTGCCTGCTCCTGAGGCCGCTGTAGGGTGGGTGTAGAGTCAGGTGAATCCCCAGCTTCCTGGGTCAAGCCCTCAGTGTCCAAGGAGGCCCCAGGTTTTGTGCCCAACTGGGAGACAGGCCCTTGAAAACTGGAGGTGATGGGCTTTGGCCTCCTGGAATGAGAGATGTCATCCAACCCCATCCCAGAGCTTGGGAGGGGGCAGTCATGAGCTGGGGAAGGGGGTACCTGGGGCTGTTCAGAGAGGACGGGGCCAGAGGGTGCCAAGAGGGTCTGTGTGCATGACTTTGGAGAGGAGAGACCTGGAGGCTGTACAACCGAGCAGGGACCACAGCCCTCCTGAGGTACAGAACCCTGCTGGAGGTGAGAGGAGGGGACCAGCTGTCCCTGATGGCTGTCCTGGGACAACTCTTGCTGAAGAGAACTGGAGTCACCACCAGTGGATGGATATAGCTTGGGCTCCTGCAGGGACCCTTTGGGTTGCCTTGTCTCCCTGGCAGAATCCTCAGAAACCACCCGTGAGGGACACTGTCCCTCATGGCAGGCCTCTTGCGAAGGGCTAGTGGTGCTGGGTGGATCAAAGTCCAGGGAGTGGCTTTGACCAGGGGCCCTGCGGGTGCTGGAGCTGGGCAAGCGCAGGGCAGTCTCAAAGGAGGGTACTTTGGTCATCAGGGCCGCTTGCTCCTCCCTGGCAGCCTCCTCCTCCAGTACGCGATGCTCCATCAGTGGCTCACGCAGGCCTGGCATCGCCCCTGCAATGTACCCGCCCTTCAGCAGGTGCCGCCTCCGGGCTGGGTGCCGCCTGCCCCCTAGAGATGGGCCCCCACGCTCCGGGCCCTCGCCTGCCTGCTGATAGAACAGGCTGCGGATGACACTGTGCCGGGGCACACAGCCAGGGGCAGCTGGTGGCCCAGCACCCTGGGGTGATGCAGGCGGGGCTGCAGCCTCAGTGGGTGTGCAGGCTTCGGCCTCCTCTGGCAGGCTGGCTGAGGGCCGCAGGAAACCCCGAGGGTGCAGCAGTGGGGAGTGGGTCACGGGGGAGGGCGGCAGTGACTTGGCCCGGGCGAACGGGGCGAGTTCAGTGTCTGAAGAGGAAGAGGAGCTGGAAGAGCCACTGGCATCTCTGCGCAGGTGCCGGGCCACTCCAAGGGATGGACTGTCCGGTGGGCCCTGCAGCAGCTCAGGGATGGAGCGCATCACCAGGATGGACTTGTAGCTCATCAGGGAGCGCTGAGGGCATGTGGGGAACAGAGGGAGGTCAGGCGAGCCTGGCTGGCCAAAGGGTGGAGAAAGCCCACTAACCCCTGGGCTCTGATGAGCCCAGAGGGGAGTCCTCTGCACCCCAGAGCTCTGCTGTTTGGCACAGCTGCCCATTTCTGTTCCCTGCCCACACTCGTTCCCTCCTCTCTGAGCACACCTCCTGAGCCTAGCCTCCAAATGAAGGATGTCCAGCCCAGTTTCTCTGCACTCTCAGGCCTGCGGTAGTGTGTACAGCTAGTCCCCCAGGTCCTCCATTTCCCCTTCCCTGGCCTCCAAGCCCTGCTCCAAGAGGCAGGCACAGCTCACCTGCCAGCGACTTCGGGCCAAGAGGAACTTGAGTTGCTTGGTGTTGATGAAGTGGGCCTCCTCAGCCGGCATGGATTTCTGAAGATGGAAAGGAGTAGCCAGGATGGGTAATACGCTGGTGCTGTGGGGGAGGCCTTTCCTGGGGTGGAGGCTGGACCAGCCCCCAGCCCTGAGATCTCATAAGTCTCAACCCCACAGGCTCTTGCTGGGTCTAAGACCTCACAGACCTACCCCAGAAACCCAGGCAGGGCAGGCCAGAGGTCAGAGGTGATAGTGATTCACTGTCCCTGACCTCCTGGCAGTTCTCCCTGTTGTGGGGCAGAGAGGGTAAGTGGGGTGACAAAATGCTGCCTCAGTCTGAGGGTCTCCAGACCGCCTCACCAATCCACAGGGATGAATGTCCTCTGAACTGGGGGCGGGGGGAGGCACAGGCTGCAGTTCTGAGCCAGTGCACCCTGTGACTCAGGTAGGCTCCTGTCCCACCTGGCTTCAGTTTTCCTTCCACAGTGTGCGGTTGAGCTACTCACCAGGAACCAGGGGTGGGCAAGGCACTGGGAGGCACTGGGTCGGGCCCTGGGGAGAGAAGATGGCCCCGATCAGGCCAAGTGGTCAGCTGGTCCCTGGGGCAAAGCTACTTGAGCCCACTGAACTCTGTGCAGGAAAAAGGCAGGTGTACACATACCCTGGGGCTCTCTGCAGTGTGGCCTTGATGAAATCCTTGGCATCCTCACTGATGTGGGCAACTGTGGGGCTGCTCCAAGACACCCGCCCCTCCAGAATGTTCAGAAGCGTGGCACGGTCACTCTCGCCCGCAAATGGTGATGAGCAGGTCAGGCTGAGAGCAGAGGAAGAGCTCAGCCTTCAAGTTAGATCCTGACCAGGGACAGACTCTTAGCACCACTTCCATTCTGCCCTGAAAATCCTGGCAAGTGTTCCAGGTTTGCCCAGAGAGATCCAGGCTCAGTTTGGACCAGAGATCCAGGCTCAGTTTTGCGCAGGGATTCACATGGATGTGTTCGCTTAGGAGGGGTTGATGATTCAATCCATTGATCAGTTGGGGACAGGGATCAAGGAAGGATTAGCTTGTACCCATGTCCAGACTTTGCCTAAGGTGAGGTTTGGGGCCCAACCTGTAGAGTATATCCAGCCTCATTCAGAACCGGGCTCTGAGCTAAGCCTGAAGTGAGTTTCTGGGCTCAGGCTGGGACATAGACAGAAGGTGAGCCTAGAGGGGCACCAGCCTTAGGCTGACGTGGGGAATGGGCCTCAGTTTGTAAAGGGAACCAGGCTCAGTCTATACCACTAGTATCCTCAGGGCAGGAACAGCCATTTGAGTGGACACTGGGGAAGTCTCAGACCCTGTAGGACACACCTCAACTTTCTGCCTCATGATCCAGACAACAGGATTTTGGCAGGTAGCACTAGGCAGGGACCTCTTATCAGCATTGGCCTACTGCCTGTTCTCAAGATAGCTGTCCCTGGGTCTCAGATCTCTCATCTGGGGAGGAACCAGGGGTGCACGTGGCCTCCTGTGGGCCTGTGGGGAGGAGTCTCAGGTTGGCTTTGGAGGCGGCAGCTATTAGCAGAGGGTTCTGCTCACCTGAGGTAGGAGATGACCCCCATGGCCCTGCAAGAACAAAACCACACATTGTGAGTCACTCCTAGGCCTGGCCCATAGGGAAAAGCTGTGTACATGCAGGGCAGTGGGGGAAGCCCAGAGTCAGAAGAGAACACAGAGAGGACCGCCCTCCATCCCCCTGGCTAGCTGTTCGGCTGCCTGCCAACTCCCCTAGGCAGAGAGAGAGTGGGCTGAGCCAGCCATGAGAGCCAACATTCCAGGGGAATTGCAGCCCTGCCAACCAACAGGGCCTACCAGATGTCGGAGGCCTCGCTCACGGGGGTCTGCTCGATGATCTCAGGGGAGACAAATTCAGGGGAGCCAAACTTGCTGTACTGTGGCTCTGCTGGGGTGATTTTTTGGGCAAAGCCAAAGTCACAGATTTTAATGTCTTCCCGAGCAGGATGCACCATCAGGATGTTGGGAGGCTGTTGGGCAGAGTTAAGGAGTCAGTAAGGCCCATGCCCTGAAGCAGTGACTGCTAGGGCTGCCAGGCCTCAGTAGTGTGATATTCAGGGGTCAAAAAATGCCAGCAACAGGGAGTGGGGTCATACCAGGGGCAGGTTTTGATATCATTTAGGGGCAGCCTTTGCTCCATCAGTCACACCCTTCCCTAAAGGACTGCCAGGAAGTACTGAGTTCCCCATCCCTGGAGGCAAGCAAGCTCCTGCTAAGGAGGCTGAAAGTGGTGGGCCTATGCCCTCCCAGTCTGCAGGTTCCTGGCTCCCAGCCTAGTTCTGGGGTAGGGAAGAAGGGGTGGAAGAATATGAATACCTTTATGTCCAGGTGAAGGATTCCATGGTTGTGCAGGTACTGCAATCCCTCCACAAGCTGCTGGATGTAGACCTTGACCTATGGCAAATGCTAGTGTTCAGGTGAAAGGTCAGCCTCCCAAAGGCCCTCAGCTCAGGTGAGAGACCCCAGCCTCAGCTTACATGCCCCTTCCTCCTGAATTCAGCACCTGGGATAGGCCCCACAGAGCCAGTGGCAAGCGACACCCTCCTGGATCCTAGTGGGGGATTTGCCAGAGCTGAGGAGGGTTGGGGCTGGCTATGCCTCTGAGCTAGAAGGAATAACCTGGGCAAAGCAGGAGGTGGGGAACAGGCAGAGCTGGCCCAGAAGGCCTCTGATTTAGGGAGTGCTGTGCCTTGGATCCTGTCAATGGGGGATGGGTGTCAGAGTGAGGGTTTTATTTCATTTTATTTTACTTTATTTTATTTTATTTTATTTTATTTTATTGAGAGGTTTTTGCTATAGGGCGCATGCGCTCGCCAGACAGACAGAGAGAGACATAGAGACAGAAAGCGAGAAATCATCCCCTAGGGGGATGGTCACGCCGCAATCCCTTCTCCTCCATTCTCCTCTCGGGATCTTGGGCACGCACGCACACGCGCCCGGCGTGAGTTTTAAGCCACCGGGTCCGGGACTCGAACCGCGGTCGACTACGTGGGAGTCCAACGACATAGCCATTACACTAACTGCTGGTTCCCCAGAGTGAGGGTTATAGTCAGGTGTGCCATGCAGGCAGGCAGCAGATGGTGTAGTCACCTCAGCCTCGGTCACCACACTCTTCTTGAACAGGCGGTCCAGCAGTTCCTCAGATGAGCACCTGAGCTTCAGTCAAGGAGAAGCAGCTCTGGGGGTCTGGAACCCACCCGGCCTCCAGAAACCTATGTTCAGTGAGGTGGCTGGGACAGTGGGTATGTCTGCTCTCAGGATTGGGGACTGATGCATGGCATTGAGAAGAGTGGGATGGAATGCCTCTGGGACTCAGATGGCACACAATCCAGAGAGGGGCTCAGGCAGATCCTGGGAACTGAGGCCACTGGACAGCAGCATAGTGGGAGGAGTGCTTCCCCATTCTCTCTGCACAGCACACCCCCTGAATCCCCTCCTTAAAAAGAGGATACTGCTGACTCAGAGGCAGGTGGAGTGTGGCCAGCTGACCAGCAGTTCATCACATGAGACCCCTCCCCTCCAGGTACCCACACATACAGGGCCCTGTGAGTGATGGGATAGAGTAGCATGGGTGGGCAGCTCCTTTCCTGTCCCTAAGAAGCTAAATGAGAAGACCTCCAGATATCCTCACTAAGGACATCTTGGATCTTTGGGACCAGCCCAGCCACCAACATGGCCAGGTGACCTCAGTCAATGTCCCATGGAAAAGAAGACTCTCCTGCCCAAATTCCTGACCTACACCACCATGTGCTGCAAGAAATGGGCTTCTATGACAGAGCTTCAGTACAGGGGTGCAGGAAAGCTGGGACGACAGGTGTCACCACAACCTAAACCCCAGGCTGGGGTCTGCCTGCCTTCCTCAAATACTCCTGAGGAGCCAAGGGCAGGATACAGCTCCAAGATTAGAATAAGGGTCTTCCGGGTCTCAAACTGGTCCAGCAGCCCTGTGATCAGTGGGTGGCTCAGAGTGGCCAGGATGTCTCGCTCCTGGTATGCCTGGGTGCGAGTTTTGCTCCGCAGGGGGATGAACTTGGCAGCACATGAGATCTTGTTTCCTTTATGCTGTACTCTTTTCACAAAGCCAAACACACCCCTGGGAAGGCAGGAAGGAAAGAGAGGAGCTCACAATGAACTATCCTGGGGAGTCCTGAAGGTTCAGAGAGAATTGGGTGGATGATACCTTCCAATCTCCTCCTTGACCTCATAGAAGGAGTGCAGCTTCCTCCGGTAGCTTTGCTTCTCTGAGTCTGCCTCACTGTCCTCTACAGTCAAAAAGCAGAAAATATTCAGTATGGGCAGAGGTGACTACCCCAGTAGAACCACCCACCATAGTGTTTTCAGGGCTACCCCTGGGCCAGACCCTATTGGGCCCCACCACACAGGTGCTGCCCAGTGGACAGAGGATGTCATGCTGAGTTGATACCTGTCTGAGGCCATCCCAGCTGCAGAGCCTGGAGCCAGGGAGGGGTTGGACAACTCACCCCCATGAACCAGCAGCTCTGCCTTGCAGAGCACTTGGCCACCAGCATTGCGAGCAAGGCAGGTGTAGACACCGGCATCATGTGGGGCCACATCCTTCAGCACCAGGGAGTATGTGGTCCCTTCTTGCTGCTGGCTGATCCGGGCACCATCCATCAGCTGAACACTGTCCTGGGGGCACACACATGACATTTTGGAGGTGTCACCATTAGCCTATCCTAGGGGACTTCACAACCATCATCCACCTTGCCCTTCACAGAGTGGTTCTTCCCAAGCCTGTTGAGTATCTGGGCCTGTGTCCAGCCCAGAAAGGATGCAGGGAAATGCCATTTGGAGGCCACACAATGGGGGCTGCATGACAGGAATTGCATGATGGGGACTACATAACCCCTCACCAACCCACACTTAGAAACATTCACACACATACACACTTGCCACCCACCACCCAGTGTTTCCCTGCTCATACCTTGTACCAGGTTACCATGGGCTGTGGGTTGCCCTCGATGACAGCCTCAAACTGTGCTGTGCCACCTGTCTGTACCTGGACATCCTCAATGGTGACCTGCATGGATGGGGGCCCTGGAGGGAGGTGGAGAGAATGCCTGTGGGGAGGGGACCCCCGGGTTGAACAACCCAGGTGCCTACCACAGTCGGCCATGAGTGGGTGGTCAGCAAGGTCCTGAGATTCCTCCACAGCAACAGAGCTCACCTCCCTCCCAGGTGGCTGTCCCCATACAGTCAGGAAGTACTTCTTCCATCTAACCACTGTCTCTTCTACTTTGGCCTCAGCTGGCCCAGGGGTCAGGAAGACGGTCAGCCAGAGCAGACAGAACTTGCTAACCCAGGCTATTGCTCTTGGGAATGAAGCCCCACAGACACCAAGTTTACTGGCACTCCTCAACAGAGGACTGGCCTCTCTGAGGGGACATGGAGAAAGGGGGTTGGGGACAGGGTCGGGACATGCCAAGTAGCCTCAGCAGTCTCTTTCATGCAAATATCCCCCAGTCCTGGGCACGAGAGCATGGAGACACAGTTGTAGGCCAGTTGGGCCCAACCCCCATACTTGCAGTGCCTGCATCGATGGCCTGGTACACGTAGGTCCTTTGCGTGGTCTCTGTGACCACGTGGCTGTGGACGTCCCAGAGCAGCTCCCCTGCACCTGCACCTGCGCCTGGCCAGGCTGCGCCCTCCACCCTGAGATCAGGAAGCTTGGTGAGCCTCTGTTCAGCTAAGGTCAGCTAGAGGCCTGGTCCCTGCACCTCCTAGGAAGCTGGGTCTCATGATAAAATGGGGTGGCCCTACCCTACCTTCACTTCGGGGGTTGATGGAACAAAAACGCTTGGAGAGAGGGTGTACAGTTGGGATCCCCAGATCTTTGTGAAGAGTGGCCTCCCCCATACCCTTTGCCCTGAGAATGGTCTGTTCTTCCTGCTCTGCTCACAGACTTGGGTGAGGGCTAGCAAGGAGTATACTTGGAAGTTGTGAGACCACTTGCCTAAAGCCTCATTCTATGTGGCCAGAGTGGTTGGCTATGCCCTGCCTGCCCTTGGCTTGTCCCCTGGAGGACTGCCCTCCACCACATGACCCTGCCAGCCGGTGGGGGGAGGGGGATTACCGAATGGGTATGGTCCGTGCCTGTGGCCCAGCACTGGCCTCAGGCTCCTGCTTCAGGCCTTCATGAGAGATAGACTGCAGCACCTTTGGGGATTCGGCTGGTGGGAGACAAAGGGCCTAGTGAGTTGGAGCTGGGATGAGACCTGGGGGCCGGCTACCACAGTGGATTCCCCCATTTCCAGGCTGGAATGGGTGTGAGCAAAGCAAACCAGCAGGCCCTGGGGCCATAGGTGAGAACCTGGAGTCCCAGTCCCCAAACCCCAGGTTTCAGCCCACAGCCTATATACATGCAAGATAGTCATCCTTCTGAGCCCAGAAGGTAGGGTGCCCTGCCATGTCCTAGGCCACTAGCACTGACCTGGCTATCAGCCAGTCGGCCAGCTGACAGTGGGATGCAGCAGCCTCTGCTTTCCAGAGCACACCCTGGCACACTGGCCAGAGAAAGCCCCTAACCATGTGGAACAGGTGGCTCTATCTTGGCACCATGGGTGCCATGGGGATTCAGTAATTTTATTAGCACACGAGTGATGTACAGGAGTGACTTAGAGGGCCAGGGCATTGCTCAATGCAGCTGCCCAGAGGCTGTGCCATGGGGCCCCATAGTGGACAGGTTAAGTCCTTGACATTGCTTCACCTGGCAGCTGAGGAGAGGAGAGGAGAGGAGAGGAGAGACTCCATAGCAGACTGGTTAGAAAAGAGGGCTTAGGACACCAGCCCACAGCACAGGTGGGGCTTAGGTGAGGCATAGGTGAGTCAGGTGGATGTTAGAGTTAAAGGTACACACTAACTTTGGGTGAGTGAGCAGATGGGAAATGGTGCCCAGGGTTGGGCGGGGAACTTGGCTGGTGCAGCTAGCTTCATGTCTATAGTGGCATCAGACAGGATAAATAAACAGCCTTACAATGGTGACTGTGCTCCATGGAAGAGCATGCAAGTATCGCAGGGGCCATTTGCTCACCAGTGTGTGTGCCTGCAGGGCACCAGGCACTCAGTGAGGCATGCCCCACCCATATGGTAGGGATGAGACAGAGGGCCTAGGGCTAGTCTTCAAAGACCAGCCTCCCCCACCAGTCTCTGCTTCTCTGCCCATCCCCGGCAGACACCAGGCTTCAGATATACAATGGTGGTGATGGATGGAGGAAAAGCTAATACTTCTTGGGGTCTGGCGTCTGAGAGGGTCACTTGTGAGACGGCTGCTAGGCCAAACATGCAAATGGGGTGCCTAGAGGGATAAGCTTGCTACCATAGGACCCCCTCTCCCAAGATCCCCACCCAGCTTTGTGTGTCATCCAAGACCCTTGCCACAGGTAGGGAGGAGTCTGTCATATGGAGAACTTTAAGGGATGACACCCTATGTGGTGTCAGAGTACTCATGCTGGCTGAATGGAGGATGCTGTGTATCCAGGGACACCAGCCTTCTGCATATGTGAACCAACCCTCTTGTCCTGCAGGGGGAGGGTGACCTGCCTATCTCTGACCTCTGTGTACCCTGGTTGCCAGGAGTTGGGGGAGGCAGAGGCAGCAGCAAGGAAAATGTGTCCATTCACCAGATTATCTGAAATGCTGGCCTGAGTTTGAGATTAAGGGTGTTGAGTGTGGGACTCATGATGGGAAGCCATCCCTGTGTGGTCTTTGAAAAGGGCACTGCAACCAGAGGTCCAACCTGGCTCTGATTTGACTGCCTGACCCCCTTCCAAAGTGACAGGATCACAGAAGAATAGCAGGTGAAGGTGCATCAGGGAAGAGTTTGCAAGGTGGTGAGGGGTTACTGGGGAGCAGGGCAGGATGCAGAAGAGATGATGGAGAATGGATGGGGCTAGGGGAAGAGAGGAGGGGCCTGGAGGTTCCTGAGTTGTCCTAGGGCACTCCACAAGCTCTGGCCTAACTCCAGGTCCTTCCACAGAAAGCTCAAGGCAGCACCCCGTCCTTGCCTGCCCATTCTAGCCTGCATACCCTGTGGCACTGATCACCAGATACGGAAGCCTGGCGCTCCTGCCTCTCAGATGCCCCGCCTGCAAGCATGGCTTCAGTCCCCCAGCTCACTTGCAACTGGTGGCAGGGACCCGAGGAGCTCTCCTTTACCTGGGGGCCTCAGTTTCCTTAAAATGCACTGCCTGTTCACTTAGGGGAAAACTCCTTAAAGTTCTCCATATGACAGACTCCTCCCTACCTGTGGCAAGGGTCTTGGATGACACACAAAGCTGGGTGGGGATCTTGGGAGAGGAGGTCCTATGGTAGCAAGCTTATCTGGTCTGTCTGGGGTACAGTTGCTTCTACCTCTCTCCTTTAGCACTTTCTCCTCCTTCCTCCTTTTCTTCTTTCTCCTCCTCTCCCTCCTCTTTCCTTCCTCCCTCAGCCCTCCTCTCCTTCCTCTTCCTCTCACTCCTTCCTGTCTCTTCAGACCTCTTCTCTTCACTTGCCCACCCTTCTCCTCCTCCTCTTCTTCCCCTCCTCTGCTCCTTGGACCCTTCTCCTCTCCCTCTTCCCTCGCCACCCTCCCCTTCCCCATCTCTCCCCTCTTCTCTCTCACCAGCTTGGAAACACAGGGCACTCAGGCTGACTATGGAGGACTAACCTCTGGCTCTTGGGATAGACTCGCTCAGGGAGGAGAAACCTTCCCAAACTCACCCCATGCCTAGTTTCACAGATGAGGCACCAAGACTATTGCAGGGTGGGCCTTGGCTAGGGTCTTTAGCTCATGGGGCTATCAGGATTCCAAATTGGGGTCCCTGGGACCCTGCCAGCTCATAGTCATAGGATGGGCACCTGAGGTGACTCTTCAGGTCAGACGGACAAGATGGGGTCAGCACAGGGTGGGATGTGGGTCTTTGTAGTCAGCTACCTCATGCCAGGCCTCACCAGGTATATCCGAAGCTCCCACACCTGGAGGCTGGGGACCAGCTTCCTGGAGTTCAAGAGACCCTCTGGAGCCAGTGCCAGTGAGGTCCCCTTTAGAGGGGTCCACAGCCTCGGGGCCCAGCAGCCTCGGCAGGACAGATGTGACCTCCTGCTCACCTCGGTCCAGGATGGAGTCTGTGAAAGAGGTAGGTTAGTGCATGCGGGCTGAGGCTGGAATCTGGCATAGAGCACTGGGGAGCACAGGAACTCCACACCAGTCCTCAGAGACAGCCCATGTGAGCAGATCCTGGCCTATCCCGTCCCACCTGCTCCACCTGCTGCTCCTCTGCTCAGGAGGCTGTCTGCAGGTGGAGGCCCATGCGTGATAGAGAAAGAAGCCCTGAGGTTAGTGCTGTGGGCACCTGCTTCCTGCCCCAGCTCAGATGCCTTCAGAAGAGTCGCCTTCTCCACAAAGCCATGGTCTGGACATCTGCCCTCAGTCTGCCCTCTTATCCCAATGCCAGCCTTTATCCTAGGGCTGGCTTCCCCTTGAGGCTGACATGGGACTGCAGGATGTTGGGTTAACCAGCCCCAACCCTAGGAGCAGCCAGATGCCAAATCAAAGCTTGGGGGGAACCTCCAGGACTAAGTGTTTAGACGGCCACAGCCATGCCCCTTCTCATCTGAGGACAGGCCCCATCTCCTGGGGCAGCCTCTGCTACCTACCTATCTTGGCCTAATGGCAGGCCTCTCCCCCCCT